AACAATATATGTGTGTGTGTACGTAAATTCTAGTGTAGCATGTTAGTATTCTTACGTAATCTGAATTTTCGAGAAACTCTCTCCACGCCTATAAATATAACCAACGCGAGGCGCCAAAAAAGAATATATATTATTAGTTTGCTATGGTCAGTGTGCTATAAACTTCGGAAACTATAACTGTGATTGTAATAAGTTAAATCTTATTTTCACTCTAAGCAAGTAGTTTGCTCTGATCTTAAGATAATATTAATACAGTTATACAGACAACAAAATACAATTTGATCCTTAAAGATTGTCCTTGTACACTCACCATTAAAAAACAAACTACGTCAGTTTTCCTTTTAAACTTTTGTGAATTACAGGCTTCCAATACTGCCGACAGCAACTCATTCCATAAATCAATCACCATATTGGAAGAATAAAACTGCCTTAACTGGGGACTAGCCCCTCTTTTCAAAATCTTAAACTTGTGTCCTTTCGTCCTATTGTCTCCAGATTACAGCGCAAAGAAATCAGAGGCCTTTATTTTATTGATCTTCCGGATAATCTTCTACGCTTCAATAATATAACCCCTTGTATAACCAAGAACATCTTAATATATTTCCATACGCTAACCCTGGATAATGGTTCGAATTCCCCGTAACCGGTATGACTAAGTGACAAGCGGTAAATCGAATTGACCTTTATATTTATTTTTTTAGTATTTTTTAAATTATCTATGTCCACGGTTGCATGCAATAAAAAAGAACAGTCTAAAACATCATACGTATTTCATTTATATGATATATGTAGCGGCCTAGATGACGAATGCAGTAGACTTGCATTTGTATTTATGGCAAAGCTACCAAGACTATTTACTACCGTCCCTAATTTTTAATTACTGGCCACTCACTACCCACGCTAAGAGGTTGACTGTTACTCTTATAAGACACCCACAACTTAAAGTGCAGAGAATATTATGTGGTTTCGCATGGATATAAATCCGGCTCGCCAACTCTGAAACTAAGATCTCTATAATAGAACCACCCCACGAAACGCAGACGATAGGTAGAGAAAATCATTCTGGAATATTGCGCGCGTGCTGAATATCTTTGTTATCAAAATTGTTTTGATTTTTATGATACGGCCTACATAGAATTGTTGCAATACAAAATAAAATATTTCGTGTGTCGAGAAAATCTATAGATCGTAGACTATTCTACTTGTTTTTCATTTTAAGTTAAATTAAATACGGCGTTCGGCAATCAAGATGGCGGCGTCCGGTGGGGCGGAGCCTCAAATATATATTGTTGCGTCA